CCCCAAAACCCCAAAACCCCAAAACCCCAAAACCCCGGTGTTTAGAAGGAGTATTGAAATTTTAGAAATTTTCGATATTTTTGAATTTTTTGGGGATGGGAAGCTGAGAATTTAGAGTAAGATGTCATGTTTAAAAATTTCTGTGGTGAATGTTTTAGGAGAAAATTTTTGGGAAAATGAGGGTTAGGTGATTATAGATGGATGGGAAATTAATTAATTACAATGTCATTAGGAATTCATTTCATTTTAATCGATAATGCTGCAAATTACTTACTATTTTTTCCTCTATTTTTAGCTTTCAAATATATTTGGAGTTCGATTCGGATAAGTAGACTTTATTCATAAATTTATTCTTGAAGCTCTTTTTTTAACTACTGCAATATTCATCTTTTCAAGTGGCTTAAACAACTGAGGAGAGCAATCTCTACATCATCTATCATTTCGTGTTTTAGATTCAGAGCCGAGCAGCTATGAGCAGAGAGAGGCTCAATCTTAGAGTATTGCTGACAAGGTATGAAAATAGAAAATTCTTGAATACATTGAGTTGATCATTTCTAACATTAAATCACCTATATTTACACAGGATCTTAAACTTAGAGTCACTAATTTGGTCAGACATAAGCTTATCAAGATACGATATCTTAATTCTGGCACATATCCTATCCTTTCTAAACGTTCTTCTTCTTATGAAAAGATGTAAGAAGCCATCGAGAATTGTTAGAAATAATCGATAACTAATCTTGGTTAGGATTTCTTCATATAATTTTCTCAAATCATTGCAAAGGCAGACTTGACCTTTATGATTTGTACTATCCTACATCTCAACCTCTATGTAGACTATGCCATTTCCTATTTTATTAAGCTTTTATTAATTAAATAGTTTCGAATATTTCATAAAGATGTTCTGATTCTATTCTAGTATAAGTAGCTTTCCGATAAACCAGCACTTCCATTCCAGAACAATTGACTTTATTTAGCCAAAAATAGTTCACCAAGGAATTATTTATCCCTAATCATAGCTAATGAGCGATATTTATCTCGACATTTGGTCAAGATCTTGCCTAGGTATTAAGCTAGAAAATTATGAACTTTTAATGGGTAGCTAGAAAAAATAATTAGCGATCTCCACTAATACTCGCTAAAAATGTTATTTCCTGTGTTTTATGCCGAATCATACCACAAATTTATAAGCACTTATAGAGATATGAAGGTCATGGAAGAACATCGGGCTCGAAAATGAGCTAAAAACTTAACATGGTGAACCACATGCTGAAAGCATTTAAAAATGAAACTGTCAGTGACCCAATGTTGAGAAGAAGCATTTTATAAGACAATTTTATTATAATACAGTATTAGGAATAGGGATTAGGAGGTAATGGAGCATCTATGTCTCCCATAGTGATTCCTCTCTCTAGTCTTTTAAGGAGTGGGGCTTTCCTTGAAAATTTCTGTGAAGTTTTTTCTTTGGAGTCTCAGTTTGATGAATTCCTTATTTTAATAGCTTGATTGAGCAAAATCTTAATATCTCTCTGGATATTGGTTTTAGATGAAGCGTTAAATGTTCTTTGTCTAATCATTGGCATTTCATTCGTAATATTTGTCGGCAAGCCAATAGCACATACTGTATTTCTAGCGTTCTTGGTGGCAAGACAAGGTTTAAACTTCGATTCCTTGTTGATACCAAACTTAAAGTGGAACATTGACCCAGACATGTTCTTTTCAACGTTTGGAGACATTTTGACTGCAGAGGCTGAAGCATTCTCACTGAGAAGCTCTTCAGACAAATTCTCATCGAATTCAAGGGAATAGTTCATATTTATTTATTATTTATTATTAATGTTATCAAGCAATCCTTCTTATATGGGGTTTTGGGGTTTTGGGGTTTTGGGGTTTTGGGG